TTTTTAAAAAAAATGAAAATCGCTCATTCTCCAAGCACCAAATTCCAGTTAATTTTGTCCTTTTTCCCTGTGGCCTCAGCATGCAGATCTAAGTGTAAAAATGGCACATCGTCTATGGGGATGTACCTCACTGGACCCCTTCCTGAAGAGAAGGGAGAAAATAGGACAACATCATTTTCATTTGACATTCTGCCCATGCCCTATCTTCTTTTTGTCATTTTTTTCCCCCTTCTGGAAATGGAGCTTCTTCCTTTCTTGCGAATGCATTTAAGGCTGTTAATTTTGCCTCTAAGCATGACTTTAAGTGCAACCTAAGTGTTTTAACATGTTATACACTTATTACCATTCTGTTGAAAATATTTTCCAGTTTTCTTTGTGATTGCTTCTACCACCCACAGGTTATTTAGGTTACTTAAGGCCATCTTTTTTTTCCCCCTGAGCACTCACCACATTAACTATTTCCTGTCTTTTAAGCATCTACTTCATGTATGTAACCAGTTTCTATCCTTGTCCCGGATAAAAATACTAGCTGAAGATAAGTTATTTCCTCTGGCTATAAATTGGACATTAAGCATGTTTTATATGTTTAAAATACAGCAATATGACAAAATTCTGTTAACCACATTAAAGTATAAATGTGGTTGAATTTTTGACATCTGTAGACAGATCTGTTGAAAATTTCAGTGTTTGATTACAATATAGATAAATCAGTATAATGTTTATAAGCAGTATCTTTTATGATCTTTAAGTGGTTATAGGAGTACTTACACCTCTTTTTTATATTCATGTTGAAATTTAAAGGTATTTGAAAGTAACTTTCTTGTTATCCAGTTATTCACTCAGGGTAATCAGATGTCTATTCAAAACAGCCAACAACGAGCTAAAGGAGTGCTGTTCCAACCAGGGTCCTACCGCTACTACAAGTGATGAAAGCACAAGAAATCCTCCACAAAGGTATTCTACAACTTTAAGTGCAACCCAAGTCTATTCTAAACTTCTGAACTAAGGGTTGGAGAAAACTGGCTCTTTAAATTTCAAAATAAAAATCAGTTTGCCTATCAATATAAGGCAATAAATACTCAGGCATCCACCTCTCCTGTGCCAGTAATTCCCAGGGACCCTATAGAAATCTTACTGCTGTGCAAATAGAGGGATTGACACAAAAACTCCAGTCACAGGATTCTCTGGGTGGTTCTAAAATAGAAGAGACACGTATAGGTATCTTAAAGATCAGGCATCGTTCCAATCACTTTATAAGAATTAATGAATTATTATAAATTAATTAATACAGCAAACCTGCAAACTAGTCGCTATAATTCTTGCTGTTATTATTCCCGTTGTCAGATGGGATAAAAGAAGGTAACTAATTTGTGACAGGGGAAAGTCTCAGATAGTGAGTGGTGGATTCAGGATTTAAACCCACGATGCCTGATTCTGGACACTTGCATTTAATTTCCGCAGCCCTCGCAGCGCCGGCGCCGGCGCTGCACACACAGCCCCGCTCCGCGCGCCCAGCCCCGCCGGGTCCCGGACCCTGCCGGCAGCCGGCAGTGCCTAAACGTTAGATCTGAAGGATAGGAGCGTGCTGAGAAGGATAATGCTTTTAGGCAATTAATTGTGTGTTCTTTAAATACGGGCATGTTAACCATACGGGGCTGGGCAGCGCATGCCTGAGCTGTTTGGAATAAAAGACTGCAGGATTTTGCAGTTTCTTTCTCTCCATCCTGCAGTCCACTTCTGAACTTGTCTCCCTCCTCTTGGGATATTCTTAGGCTGCCTGGACTTCACTTCAGCTCTGCTATGCCCAGCCTTCCACTCATTCCACTCGGACCCCCAAATGCTGACCGGCCAGGGGATCCCATGCTACCCCTGCAGACTGTTGTATGCACAAGAAATCCAGGTCCCAGCCTCTGATGCTGTCAGTGCTTTGTTAGTAAAGAAGGCACAGCTGAGCCAAATAACCAGACAAATGACCAGATGTGTACTTTCTGAGAATTGTAAAAACAATATTGATGCTCAAAAAAAAATATATGTATATCAGGGCAGGAATATGGACAAAGGCAGTCAGAGAAAATGATCTCTGAAGACATTGGGATAGGATGGGAACTAGTTTATTTTTCTCAAGATGCACTGCCCAATTATTTCCAGTTATTCAATTATTATTCATTTTTTATGGTATTGAAAATCATGGGATATATTGGTTTATAACAGTTTATATGAAATATTGTTATGATAAAACTAAAAGATAAAGTCACTATCAGACTATGAGACATGAACACGAATGGCAGTTACACAGGTGGGAACTTGGAAGCACACACTGCCTGGCACCAGCTGCACAGCCTTGGGCAGGTAAGGAAACATTCTGCTTCTCAGTTCCCTTGTGTTAGGAAACGAGATGGCCAAATACTATATACAACTTCACTCCAATACAGTAACTACTAGCCTCATGTGGCTATTTAAATTAAATTTATAATTTTAAAAATGGACATTCATTTCCTCACTCTAGCCTCATTTCAAGTGCCCAAGAACCCCATGGGGCTAGTAGCTTTCATACTGTACAGCATGCATACATATATGTATATAAATTGTTCACAGAAAGTTCTTCTGGACAATGCTGGTGTATCAAGAGAGGGTCAACTATGATTTAGATACACTGCTGGGAAAATATCACAATTAAGCAAATAATAGATGCAGTGCTAGGAAAATATCACAATTAAGCAAATAATAGTTTTATATTCAGGATTCTTTTGTTTGTGAATTTGTAGAGAGCTTGGCGTAGAAGCCTGAGAGCTGTGCTGCAAGTCTTTTTCTTGTAAAAATCACTGGGGCTGTCACATCCTGATAAAGAGAAAGTTTATTTCAAAAAGTTCAAGTGAGGCAGACTTTGGGACAGCTTGCATGCAAAATATAAAACTCAGTAACTATCAAAAGGAGAAAAAGACAAATCCAACATTTCCTACATTCACGACGAATAATCAGCACCATTTTCAACTAATTATCAAATTAGAAAAAGACAACCTTTTAAAAACATTGAGCCTTTTATTTAGGTCTTCTGAAGCTAAAATGCTTTTCATTTTATTGTACAGCCTGAATTAGTTTAATTCCTAGGTTAACTTTTAATGTTGTTATGAATGTTATTAATTTTAAATGTTTACTTCAAATGTTATTGATGATAAATAAAAATGATTTTTGTATATTGCACTCCTGTCCAGTGTCTTTGCTAAATGTACCTATTAAAGCTAATAGCTTATCTGTAAATTATTCTTAATTTTCTGTTGCATTCCATCAATAATTTATTTCCAGTTATAACATCTTTTATTTCTTTGCTATTACACTAGCTAGGACTTGCAATAATAAATACAGATTTTTTTGCCTTTAGATTTATTTCAGAGGGAAAGTTTTAGAAACCTTTTAGATAATTATCTAAATTACAGATGTAACAGATCCATATTCACATTTATTTCTGCTCCTGTCATTTTTACTAATAGATGTTTCCAGCAATATGACTATTTCATGTAAATTTTCAAGTTTAATGTCCTAATTTTGTTCCTGATATTCTCTAATGATTTTTAATGCCTGTTATTAATGTAGTGATAACATATTTGAAATTACTGATGTCGGTTATTAGAGCCTTCTTCATTTTTCCTTGATAAGTTTCACCAGAAATTATCTGGCTTCAATAAGCTGTTTAAAGGATTTTACTTAATTTATTTCCCTTATTTAATATTTGTTTTTCTTCATTGCTTTTCTTGGCCTTATTATTTGCTTCATTCTGCTTTCTTTGCTTTTACCTACCTAATTATAATTTAATTTGTTGACTTGGGTGATTATAAATATTCAGATATGTTTCCACTTTACAGATTTAGGCAACAAAATTTCCTCAAAGAAACTTACAGAAAAAAAAAAATCCAATAATATATAAAACGATATATCATGACACAGAAGGGCTTCTTATTAGAAACAAATTGGTCAGTTAAATATTTGAAACTCATAGCTGCAAATAATCACATTAAGAGAATAAAGGGAAAAACAAGATTATCTCAAAAAATATATAAAACTACATGACAGAATTCAGTATGCGGTCATGATACGTACTCTCAGCAAAGTAGGAATACAAAAAAATGATTAATCTACTACACGTATCTGCAAAAATGACAAAACGCTTATATATGGAAATTAAAGACCATTCCTTTGTGGATAGTATGCCACAACACAGCACAGATGGGGTTGAAAGAAAGGAAGAGAAACAAAGGGCTGCCATGAATTAAACCAGTAGAGAAAATAAAAGCCTGGGTCATGCAGGGGACAGTGCCTTATTAAGCCAGCATCAGGAATGATTGAAGTCTGGGGCTTCTACACAGTGGGAAAACGAGCATAGTAATCACAATAAAGAAAGACATCTGAAAGGTGCTAACTTAGCCTCGGATCAGAAGCGCTCTCTGCTAATGCCTTGCTGGCGAAAAGCGTATCCAGCGTAAGCCCTCAGAAATCCCAGAAAACAAAGACCAAAAGAAACGACGCTTTGTCAACAGAGCAAATCGAAAAAATCTTCCAGCAGTGACAGGGCATTAAAAAAAAAAAACACGCAGACATAAGATGGAGTGAATCAAAAAAGGATTTATATAATTCATGTATGAAATGTTTCAGAATCTATTGGATTCTAATTTTTTTAAAGCAGACAGATACGAAAATACAACGAAGACGTGCATGACTGAAACCAAAAGAGATTAAAGTAAAACCTCATTCTCCTGAGGAAACGGTGTGAGGAGGGAATTAGGGGCTGCCGGAACACAGCGAAGCAGAGGCAGAAGGCAGACAAAAGGGGCTGGGTTGGTCCCTGCTTGTGTGAACAAAAAATATGTCAGATTGGAAAATTGCGGTAAAATCCAAGCGCGGCACGTACGTTGCCCCCACAGGAAGTGTCCGCCGCGCTGCCTGGGCCCGGAAGTAGGTAGGAACACACAGTCACAGGCAGCCAAGAACCGGGGGGGAAGAAAAAGAGATGCACACTTCCCCTAAAGAAGCCTCCGAGCGTGGCCGCGACTCCGGGCCTCAAGCCCATAAAGAAAAAATACCGGAGACGTTCTGGCACCATTTCGGGGTAAAGAAGCTGCCATGGAAGAGCCTGCAGCTCCCTCAGAAGCCCACGAGGCAGCCGGGGCCCAGGCAGGTGCTGAGGCAGCAGGGGAGGGTGTGTCTGGGCCGGACCTTCCCGTCTGTGAGCCCTCCAGGGAATCTGCTGCTCCAGATTCAGCCCTGCCACATGCGTCTGTGGGCTGGGCCCCCTTCCCTGTAGCTCCAGTCCCTGCCCACCTCCGCACAGGAGGCCTGAGGCCTGCCCCAGCCTCAGGAGGAGGAGCATGGCGCAATCCGTTTCCAAGCCGAAGCAGCGGCATTTGGACAAAGCAGATCATCTGCAGGTATTATATACATGGGCAGTGCAAGGAGGGGGAGAACTGTCGCTATTCCCACGACCTTTCTGGTCGGAAGATGGCCACTGAGGGCAGCGTTTCGCCGCCTGGGGCCTCTGCAGGTGGAGGCCCTAGCACGGCTGCGCACATCGAGCCCCCGACTCAGGAAGTGGCGGAAGCCCCCCCGGCTGCATCCTCCCTTTCCTTGCCTGTGATTGGCTCGGCTGCTGAAAGGGGTTTCTTTGAAGCCGAGAGAGACAATGCAGACCGTGGAGCTGCTGGAGGAGCAGGTGTAGAAAGCTGGGCGGATGCCATTGAGTTTGTTCCAGGGCAGCCCTACCGGGGCCGCTGGGTTGCATCTGCCCCCGAGGCTCCTCCACAGAGCTCAGAGACTGAGAGGAAGCAGATGGCTGTGGGCAGGGGGTTGCGGTTTTGCTATTATGCTTCCAGGGGAGTTTGCTTTCGTGGGGAGAGCTGTATGTTCCTCCATGGAGACATATGCGACATGTGTGGGCTGCAGGCCTTGCACCCCATGGATGCTGCCCAGAGGGAAGACCATATAAGGGCCTGCATTGAAGCACACGAGAAAGATATGGAACTCTCGTTTGCTGTGCAGCGTGGTATGGACAAGGTGTGTGGCATCTGCATGGAGGTTGTCTATGAGAAAGCCAACCCCAATGATCGCCGCTTTGGCATTCTTTCCAATTGCAACCATACCTTCTGTATTAGGTGTATCCGCAGGTGGAGAAGTGCCAGACAGTTTGATAACAGGATCATCAAGTCTTGCCCGCAGTGCAGGGTCACCTCCGACTTGGTCGTTCCCAGTGAGTTCTGGGTGGAGGAGGAGGAAGAGAAGCAGAAACTTATTCAGCAATACAAGGAGGCAATGAGCAACAAGGCCTGCAGGTATTTTGCGGAAGGCAGGGGTAACTGCCCATTTGGAGACACATGCTTTTACAAGCATGAATACCCTGAGGGCTGGGGAGATGAGCCTCCTGGGCCAGGTGGTGGGTCGTTCGGCGCATACTGGCATCAACTTGTGGAGCCTGTGCGAATGGGAGAGGGCGACATGCTCTATAAAAGCCGTAAGAAGGAGCTTGTCGTGCTTCGACTGGCCAGTCTGTTGTTTAAGCGGTTTCTTTCACTGAGAGATGAGTTACCCTTCTCTGAGGACCAGTGGGACTTGCTTCATTATGAGCTGGAAGAATATTTCAATTTGAATCTGTAGCATTGTGCTGTGGCATGTGGTCTAGTCTGCTGAGGTTCTGTCGTCTGCTATTGCCTGTTTTCCCTGTGTTGACACTCTTATTGCTTTCAGGGGCTATTGAGGCAGTGCTTCTGTTTTCTTGTCTATTCTGCATATCTTTCCCCCTAGGATTATGGTGATTATCTGTGTTAAAAAAAAATAAGTCCTTAAAGTTACTGTTTTGGTGAAATTAATATTAATGTCAGCTTATGGCTTTTTTTGTCATCTCTGTTTTCAACAGGATTAACTCAGTTCTAGTGTAGTGTTTATTGAATTTCCACACTTATTTTGAAGACCCTCAAGAGTAAATGTGGCAGAGTGAAAGGAGAAGTTTTAATTGAACTAGTAGCTTTGTGCTATAATAGCCTTAACAAATGGACCCTCGCAGGGTCTTGCAGCTGCTCATCTGTTTACAGTTTGTTCTTTCCCTCCTTCCCCTTCAAGTGCACTTGTTAAACTGTGATGAACTTGTGATTTTGTGTTTTACTTGACCAAAACCAAGTGTATATGTTTACATGTTTTTATCCTGTTTAGCTTGACATGAAATAATTTATATTTGGAAATATATATTTAAGAATGATATATATATAATATATATGTATAAGAGCTATGTATTTGAAAATATATATAAAAGAACATACATCACAATATTTATGTTTATGTAATAAAGTAAATACAGAGCCGAAAGCTGAAGGTCAAAGCCTAACAGGATTGGCTGTTGTGTGGATGTGAGTTGTGTGAATAATCATTCTGTCCCTTGCACAGAAGCCAGTAATTAGCATCTAATGAAAAGGACTGTTCAAGTGGGTCTGGCCAAATGTAACAGATGCAGATCTTAGAGGACTTACAAAGCACTATATTGGTAATTCTTACAATGGCATTAATAGCTCACTCTATAAAAACAGAAATGGTGTTCCTATGCAGTTTAGCCACCTTCTCAATAATTCTTTGTAACAGCAAATCCTAGGCTCAGAGGCACAGTGCTTTGTATTTGATATACAAAGTCTCTAGACTTTCCCAACAAGGGGCTTTAGACAAAAGATTTCAACATTAAAGTAACAAGATTATAAAAGGGAAAATAGAACAAAAATACTAAAACCAGTGAGAATAAAATAATGGAAAGATAATAAAATATAGAAAGCACTAAAAACTAAGTGTAAGAGTAATATAGAAAATTTACATACAACTTAGATTAAATGAAAGCAGTTTAAAGACTGAAAGTCAAAGGCTATAAGACTTCATTACAATCAAAATGAAACATCCTATTTAAAATACACACAACATAAAAATACAGAAGCATTCAAAGTAGTAAGATGGGAAAAAAAAACAAACAGGTGCTGTGACTGTCTTGATTGTAGACAATGTTTATGGTAAGGATAAATATTTTGCTGGAGATAAAAAGGAATGATACATAAACATCAAATTGTAATTCACAGGAATATATAACTGTTCAAATTTTGTATACATTTAATAACGTTGTATCAGATACACAACTGATAAAAATAGAAAATCCTAACTCCAGACTCTTAGTGGACAATTTTAATACACCTTTTTAGTAACCAGACAAGCAAAGAAGAAATGAATGTGGAAGATAATTATGCCATTTTAATGACTTACCTGCATAACTTAAGATCTGCATCAACTGCAGATGCACTTATCTTGGCTGAAGTAGCCGAAAAATATGCTAGGAGTCTGAATCGTGAGTCCCAGGTTATTCACACTGTCCTCACTGTCCAACGAATATGGCATATTTAAGAGTTTTTATACCATGTAATTTGCATGCAAAAGGATGAATTTGTCAGAACTACCTAATGTGGTACTTGCTATAATTTTTCTCATTATCCTGATGAGGTAAATAATAGAGAATTTAAAGGTTTTGCCCATAGAGTTTATGACCCATAGCTGTGAATTAGTGGAACAAAGACTGGAACTCAGTGTATGTCCAGAGCAGTTGCACTTACCATGTTCACTAGGAGCAGGTGGACTAGCTGAGTGTAGCTGCTGGAGACGCAAGTACAGCCTTTAAGTGTGGATGCTTCAGCCAAGTGGAGCAAAGATGGACATGAATAAGCTCCCGCAGAACATAGGAGCCATGGGGCTTTCATCTATAGGCTGCCAGCTCAGTGATTTTAGTCCACTGCTTCAGAATGTGCCTCAGCCTCCTCTAATTTTACATTGCCTCTCCCTTCTTACATGACTCCTGGTGCTAGTAAGTACCTCAGCCTATTTGCCTGGACCTTTTGCCATATTCCTTTCCTCTTGATTCCTCTTAGCGAAAGAATTCACCAATTAGGACACCCTTGATGCCTGACTATCACTGGCATGCAAGGTGAGTGACAGATTCCAAATAAATTCCAAACATCTGAGGTTCCTGCCCTGCAGTGGTGCAGGAGAAAGAGAGATTAGATGAACTAAACAACCAAAGAATGAGACCAGATGGTGTATTCTCAAAGACTGTGCCAACACCAAAGTCTCAAAAAATGAGTCCCAGTAGTGGCAAAGCTTTCAGAGAGGTGTTTTTAAGCTGAGCCCAGAAAGCTGTGGAAAGTTTCTCCAAATGTACACTTCCCTGCATTGTGAAATACCATGTTTTTATTCAAACCGTATCTCAAGCCAGATAATCGTAAAGTTCAGGATTTATAGTAGGACAATGGTTAGTAGAAAATAAAGTGGCTTGGGAGACAAAAGGGTAGTTAGAATGCTGACTCTGCTTCTTACTAACCATTCAGTTTCACAGTCTAAGGAAGTTACTTAATTTTCTGTACTTCAGTTTCTTCATATGAGAAATGGGTACAGTTCCACCTACTTTTGCAGGATTGTTGTGAGGATCAAATGTAGTCTGGACAAAAAGCTCGAAACATAGGTTTGTTGGTTTGTTTTTTTTTTTAGTGATCTATATAGATGTGAGATTTGTGCATATTTTTGGACATGAAAAGGTGATTGCACAGAAATTAATCACCAAGATTTTCTTTTTGAGAATCTTTGGAACTTGTATTAATGTAACATTATCATTTAATGATTATTTTGGTAAGCAAGGGGTATATTACCCTCACATTCATAATTTCAAAAAGATGAAGTATTTTTTCAGCAAAAACTATTCAGTTGAAACTAAATATGTGCTATTCAGTTACTTAAAATATAACAAAAGAAATACATATTTTTGGCAGATTTCTAAGTGAGGAAAATAACAAAGGGACATTTTTAGAATATATGGGATTCCTTGTTCCCTCATCAGTTCATTCAGAAAAATGTCAAATAACGGAAGTATTACTGCCACCAAGTCTGGGTGAAGTGTTACCAAGGGCTTTCCCACGATCTGACCACTCCCCTGCTGCAGTCAGGAACAAAGAAAGCTTTGCCACACAAAGGCCTGCTCTGTGAGTGATGCAGTGTGTGTGCAGGCCCTCACCCCTAGGAGGACTTAGGGATTCTGCCCTGGGGTCTACAAAAATGGTATCATTTCAGCTACAACTAAAAAAGCCTAAAACGAGGCAGGTTTGCTTAGGTTTCATGTGTCTCGATTTGATGGATATCCACACATGCAAATATGCTAAGAGAAATTGACCTGGTAATTCTTCCCCTTTGAAGATGCGGAAATCACTTTGTCTCATGGCTCGCATGTCACTAAATCAATTCACTGAATTTCACTGACAGGGAAACATTTTCGGTCCGTAGTCTATGTCCGTATGCTCTTCCATTTTACGGTTTTCCAAACGTCGTGGAGGCATGGTTTCTGTTGCCACAGCTAATGCTAAACTACAACTTCAGTGTGGGATGGAGTTAGGGTAGGGCTGGGAACAGGGATGTATGGGAAGTAACCCAGTACTAGTGCGTAGAAGTAAATTAATTCATGTCAGTTTTTGCCATGAAAATATATATCACATTTTCCAATATTAAGGGAACAATAACAAAAATAATTATGAAATAGAGTACAGTGAAACTGTCAATTAGATCTAGATATTAAAAGTAGTACAGGCAACATTCTCTGAGGTCAATATAAGAAAATAAGCTCCTACTGTCTGGGCACAGTGGTTCACACTTGTAATCCCAGCACTCTGGGAGGCTGAGGCAGGTGGATCATGAAGTCAGGAGATCAAGACCGTCCTGGCTAACACAGTGAAACCCTGTCTCTACTAAAAATACAAAAAAAAAAAAAAAAAATTAGCTTGGCGTGGTGGCGGGCACCTGTAGTCCCAGCTACTCTGGAGGCTAAGGCAGGAGAACGCCGGGAACCCAGGAGGAGGAGCTTGCAGTGAGCAGAGATCGCGCCACTGCACTCCAGCCTGGGCAACAGAGCAAGACTCTGTTTCAAAAAAAAAAAAAAAGAAAGAAAAGTAAAAGAAAATAAGCTACTACCACTTTTAATTGTCTCTCAAATAATTTGATGTAGGAGTGAATTCAAAATCATTTAGAATATAATATGACAATGGCAAATTATACATACCATAATATAGAGGATACTTCTAGATCTGTACTCAGAGTATAACTCCTAATTTTAAATACTAATGTATATTGTCTTAAAAACAAAGAGCCTAATTAACTAGGTATTCAAACCTAAATTTTAAAAAGACCACAGCATGAACACATGCACACATAGACACAAACACATACAAACACAACTAAGGTAAGCAGGAGGAATTAATAAATATTAAACTAAAAATTTGTTGAACAGAGAATGAAAATGTAAAGGCCAAATTTTTTTTTTGTAAAAATAATTAGTAAACAGATAAACCACTAACTTAAAAAATAAAGGATAAAGTGCAATTAACATAGGAAATGTTAATCAGAGGTAATTAGAGCTAAAAAGGCACTAAAGAAATGGGAAATAAATCCTTGTTATACCCAAGGGAAAGGTACTTGAAAATATGAAACAAAATTTAACAGTTTCAACATAAACATAAATTTCCAAACATCGATCCAGATGACAAATCTAAACGAACCTATTGCTAACAACAAAAAAAATGAAGTTGTCTAAATTGCACTCATTCCCTACTCCACACAAAAAGAAACCAAAGACATTATCCCCTGAAATTTACTTACACATTTAGGTAAAATATATTGCAATGCTGTATAAACCATTTCTTTGTCCATTTGAGCAAATATCATAAACTAGGTGGCTTACCAGCAACATACATTTATTTCTCACAGTTCTGGAGGCTGAGAGGTTTAAGAGCATGGCACCGGCAGCTTGGTGCCTGGTGAGGGTCGGTTCCTGGTTCATAGATGACCATCTTCGTAAGAACACACTGTCAATTGTCCTCACATAGTGGAAGGCACTACCAACGCCACTGGGACCCCTTTGTGGGGGTTTTAATTGTGCTGTTTTAATGTACAATAAAATGTATTAAAATTAAAAACTATAAATAATTACATAAATATATTTGTTTTCTTTTTTATGGGTAGTTTGTTTTTCAGTGGAGAAGTGCTTGAAGCAATGCCATATGATAACATGTTCTAGTGAAAGTTTTATGCAAGTTAATCAAGAATACAATACGATATAAACCATAAGGGAATCACAGTTGTGGGGGCTTAGACACAAAGCTGTGTATACCATTTGAGCTGGTAACTGGAGCCTCTTTTATTAAGGGCATTAATCCCATGTATGAGGCCTCCACCATCATGACTCCAACACCTTCCAAAGGTCCCATCTCCTAATACCATTACCTTAGAGATTAGATTTCACTGTAGAAATTTTGAAGATACACAAACATTCAGTATACAGAACTGCTATGGTTTGGATATGGTTTGTTGAGCCCACCAAGTCTCGTGTTGAAATTTGATCCACAGTGTTGGAGGTGGGGCCTGGCAGGAGGTGTGTGAGTAATGGGAGCAGATCCTTCATGAATGGCTTTTGCTGCTGTTCTCTCAGAAGTGAGTGAATTCTCTGAACTCCCGTTAGAACTGGTTGTTGAGAAGAGCCTAGGCTGGGCACAGTGGCTCATGCCTGTAATCCTAACACTCTGGGAGACAGAGGCATAAGGACTGCTTGAGACCAGGAGTTTGGACCAGACTGGACAACATAGTGAGACCCCATCTCTACAAAAAAATAGAAACAATTAACCAGACATGGTGGTGCATGCTTGTAGTGCTAGTTAATCGGTGTTGAGGAGGGAGGATTGATTGAGCCCAGGAGGTCGCAGCTGCAGTGAGCTATGATTGTACCACCGCACTCCAGCCTGGGCTGCAGAGTGAGACCCTGTCTCTAAAAAAATAGGAAAACAGCCTGGCAACTCCTTTGCCTCCTCTTCATGATGTGATATCTTCTCCTATTCCTCTTTCATCATGATTGGAAGCTTCCTGAGGGCCCTCACCAGAAGCAGATATTGGTGCCATGCTTGTGTGTGTGTGTGTATGTGTGTGTGTGTGTGTGTGGATTTTTGCTTTTGTTTCCCAGGCTGGAGTACAAAGCTGCACTCCTGGCTCACTGCAACCTCTGCCTCAGGGGTTCATGCGATTCTCCTGCCTCAGCCTTCCAAGTAGCTGGGATTACAGGTGCCCACCACCACGCCCAGATAATTTTTGTATTTTTAGTAGAGACAGGGTTTCACCATGTTGGTCAGGCTGGTCTCGAACTCCTGACCTCAGGTGATCCACCCGACTGGACCTCCAAAAGTACTGAGATTACAGGCATGAGCCACCACGCCCGGCTGGAGCCATTATTCTTTTACAGACTCCAGAACCATAAGCCAAAGAAGCTGGTTTTAAAAACTATATTATTCAGTTTCATATATTCCTTTATAGAAACAAAAATGGACTAAGACCAGAAAATTGGTGCTGAGGAGTGGAATGTTGCTATAAAAATACCTAAAAATTTGGAAGCAGCTTTGGAACTGGGTAATGAGCAGAGGCTGGAAGAGTCTAGAGGGCTCAGAAGAAGATAGGAAGGGAAATTCTGGAACTTCCTAGAGACTGGTTGTGACCAAAAATGCTGATAGAAATACCGACAGTGAAGGACATGCTGAGGAGGTCTCCGATGGAAATGAGGAACTTACTGGGAACTGAAGCAAAGTTATACCCTAGCAAATAATTTGGCTGCATTGTGTATACACTCTAGCACTTTGTGGAAACCTGCACTTAAGAGTGATGGCCTAAAGTATCTGGCAGAAGAAATTTCTAAGCAGCAGAGCATTCAAGAAGTGGTATGGCTGCATCCAACAGTCGACAGATATGGGAGCAAAGGAAGGACTTAAAGTTGGAACTTATGGTTAAAAGGGATACAGAGCATAAAAATTTGGAAAACTCAAGCCTGGCCATGAGAAAGAGAAGGAAAGAGCATTTTTCAGGAGAGGAAATCTGAGGGGGACAGCTGAACAACCACTTGCTAGAAAGATTAGCACAGATAAAAAAAAAAAAAAGAGCCACTTGGTAATAGAACAGTGTGAAAACAGTCCAAAGGCATTTCAGAATCTGAGTTTACTCCTCCCATTACAGGTCCACAGGCCTAGAAGGACAGATGGCTTCTGGGCCAGGCCCAGGGTGCTGCTGCCCTGTGCAATCTTGGGAAGCTGCTTCCCTCGTCCTGGCTGCTCGGACCACAGCTAAAGCTCAAAGGGCTCAAGCTACTGCTTAGACCACTGCCTCAGTGGGTGCAAGCTGTAATGTTTGGGGCTTCCATGCAGTGCTAAAACTGCAGGCACACGGTATGAGACTGACTGAGGCTCTTTGTGGGTTGGAGCCCCCACGAAGTGTCTCCACCACGCACCGCCTAGTGGAGCTGTGGGAGTAGGATTGCCATCCTGCAGACCCCAGAATTCTAGAGTCGCCAGCGCATGCACTCTCAGCATGGAAAAGCCACAAGCACTGGACTCCAACACATGATAAGAGCCACATGCGCTTCACACAGCAACGCCATGGGGACAGGGCTGCCCAAGGCCTTGAGAGCCCACACCTCATACCGTTGTGCCCAGGATGTGGGACATGGAGTCAAAGGAGAATATTTTGGGGCTTTGAGTTTTTGTATCTGCCCTTCTGAGTTCTAGACTTAATGTGGGGAGTATTACCTCTTTCTTTAGGCTGATTTCTCCCTTTTGGAATGGGAATGTCTAACCAATGCCTATATCACATTTGTATCTTGGAAGTAAATATCTTGTTTTTTATTTTACAGGTTCACAGCTGTAAAGAACTTGCCTGGAGTCTCAGATGAGACTTTGGACTTTGGACTTTTGAGTTGATGCTGGACCAAGTTAAGACTTTGTTGATAGGATGATTTTATCTGGCAATGTGAGAAGAACATGAGTTTTAGGGGGTCAGGGGCAGAATACTGTGGTTTGGTTATGGTGTCTTTGGCCCCACCGAGTCTCATATTGAAATTTGATAACCAGTGTTGGAGGTGGGGCCTGGTGGGAGGTGTTGGGAATATTGGGGTGGATCCCTCATGAATGGCTTGGTGCCATTCTTGCAGGGATGAGTGAGTTCTTACTCTGAGTTCTCTAGAGAACTGGTTGTTGAAAAGACCTTGTCATTT